TGACTTGTTCTTGGGAGTCATTGGAAGAGATTTTGTCTTTGGAAGGATCTTGTCAAGAACTCTGTGAAATATTTTCAAAGTTATGTTCAGACTTTTCATTACGTGGACCTTTGATTTAGAGATTTGAACTATCTCTGAATTGTCATTTTCAGATTTAGATTCAGATTTTGAATATTGTCCAGAGAACTGATAAACTTTGTATGAAGAACATGGTTTTCTTTTGTCATAATTAATTCAAAATAGTAAAAACCAAGTCCGTGTTTAAAATTCCTTTGATGGGTAAAACTGTGAATGTTAGACTTTGCAGAAGATTCTTCCCAAGTGATCTCTTCTTTAGAGATGGATCCAGGCTTAACAAAGTATTGGCCAAAAGGGATCCTTTCTACAAGATTTTCAGAGTTCTGTTTTGTTGTACCATTTTCAGAGAAGTTTTGAGAAATACTCATTGCAGAAAAATCATAAAGGTTTGTTGGTACATTTTTCAAAAAAAGAATTCTCATTTAGTCCCAATCCCAACTTTGGATTATAGAAACTAATATCCTTTGGATTACTAGTCAATAAATTTAGCGTTTGTTCAGTCTGTCCTCTCTTAAAGTTTAATTCTTCCAATTCCTCAATCTTTTTATATAAATCAATTCTTTCTTTAGATATGAACTCATATTGGACTTTTAGAATATCATTGTCAGTTTTTATCTTTTCAAAGTCTTTCTTTAATTCAGAAATCTTTTCAAACAAGTTAGACTTTTCATTCTCAACGCTTTCAGTATGCTTTTCAACATGCAAATAGTTCAGTTTATAACCCTCTTTTTCTTCTTTGAATTTGTAGACCAATATTCTTTCACCTTTAAGTCTTTTTTTAAGGTCCACAAACTCTGAGTTCGTGGATTCCATTTTAAAAAGTAAATTTGAGTCAAGAATTTGTACCTCATCAGAGTTAGAGCCAGAAGTTTCGGCCTCTTCAACAGAGGCCATAAAAGCATGATATGGCATAATGGACAGCTTCCTCATCTGAAAAGGACCATTCTAGCCAGTTTTCTTTTTCTGCCATGAGCATTTGGCCTTGCTCCTTCCTATTGGCTAAGTGCAACTTTTTTGAGTAGTAATCTGAATCTCTGGTCTTTTTGAATCTACACTATCTGCCAAAGTGCCCAATTTTACCACAATTAAAGCATATGTAAGCTTCTCCCTCTTCCTTCTTCTTGCTCTTCTTCTTATCATCCTTTCTCTCAGGATTCTTTTCATAATTCTTTTACTCTGAACTATGCTTTCTATCACCATTACCTCTTTTGTAATAGTCAACAGATTTGATGTGACTTCTTTTGGCAAATTTCTTATCGAAGGCTTTGGTGAGTAGAGCCAAGTTTTCTGCCATGTTTCTGAGCTATAAGTCAGAATCATCACTTTTAAAGTCAGATGCTGGGTCTACTTTTGTATCTCAACCATCTTTGATACCCGTTCAAAACTGCTCTTGTATTTTCTCTCAGATATGAGGGCAAGAGAGTCATGAACCTTCTTTTTCTTAGACATTCTCTCAATGACCTTTTCCTCATGTTGGTATAGGATGCCAAAAATGTCATGGATACTTTTCTTAGCCAGATTTTTGGTAAGAAGATTGTCTGCAAAAGCATCCTATTCAGGCCTTAAGGTCTACAGAAATTTATTGTTTATTTCAGAATTTATCTTCTAAAGCCCATTTCTTCTAAGGTCTTTAAGAATGTCATTGAATCAACCACAAGGGTGGTGCCTGATTGGTTTGAAATTGGCTCCAAAGGTCAAAAAGTACCAGGAGGTCCCAGGTTCAAATCCAAGTAGGAATAAAAATCCCCTTGTGACCACAGAGGTTCAAATGCGGTGACTCCGGGCTATCTGCAAAGCAGGTGGTCGCCCTGGGATTAGTCGGCTCGCATAGCGAGTTGGATATCCAGGTTAATAAAAAAAATGTCATTGAATCTCCCATATGTTTCTGAGAGAGATTCAAATTCTCTTTCCTTGAATCCTTTATAGGCTCCAATGCAAATATTGACTTTGTTTTGCATGGCCTTTTCTCCTCCTTGCATTTGGGCCTCCACTTCACCCTGTTGAATATCTCATTGAGAACTGTCATGGTTAGAAGTGTGAGAGCTCTCCTGTCTATTTTGGCTCTTCTTTCCTCCTCTGTATTGTACATGTTAGGATCCTTTCTAATCCTAGATGCAGGAATGTCAAGAGTATATGTTGATCCTCTCTCTCAGCGATTTGATGATAATCCCTTTTATCTATCGATGTAATTTTGTTTCTGTATTTTCAGTTCCAGCGATCATACACTGAGTATGTTCAGTGATCACTGAGAAGCTTGTTTTATAAATCTCAGAGACAAACAATACTTCAAGAAGACAACACTCACACCAAAGAACCTTCAGCGAATGTCGAAGACTGAAACTGAAGATTAGAGACTGGCGAGTACGTGATCTAAAGCGGTATTCAGTGATTACGAGCCTATCTACAAATGTGTGAAGACTGCTCTAGCTTCAGCGAATGATGATGAGACCTCCAGGTTATTCCAGCATTCAGCGATCAAAGGAAGCTTGCTTAGCATGATTGTTGTTGTCTTGTCCTTTTGCACACAAAGGACAAACCCATACCCTTACTAAAGTTAGTACGGTATGGAGCCGATTAGTCGACTCTTTGTCCACCAACTTTAGGCAAAGATGTCTGCTCAAGAATAGTGCTTTTGTACTATTCACTGTAGCAAAGGACAAACCTTCCTCTTAAGGCTTGACACGCACTCTATACCCTACCTTACTACATTAAATGAACATTTAATGCACTGGGTATAAATAGAAGTGTTTCTTCTCTATGCAGAGTGCGCGCATCACTCTCTTACCATATTCTTACTTCAAGTTTCTTCTAGCTTAAGTAAAAGATATTTCTTTTCTTGTATTTGCTAAACCTCTGTGTGTGACCAAAGGTTGTTTAGATAGGTTTCCTATACCTTATCTTTCCACAAACAATCTTGTAAAATTTGTATTGGTCTTCTCTATCAATATATATTTTAAATTTGAAAACTTTGTGTTTGTATTCACCCCCCCTTCTACAAACTGTTTCTTATCTTGTAGACCCTTTTGGGACCAACAGTATATCTATTCTTGGAACAACAAGAATCTTAATGAAAAGTTCAAGAGGGCCATTTAGAATTGAGTTCATCAATTCTTCATAACTATTATCGAGAAACTGAATTATTTTGTCCTCCATTGATGAAATTCTCCCACAAATAGAGTAGGAGGCTTTATTTTATATCCAATGCTAGCATACTCTTTAGAAATCTTGATAGTGTGTGATCAAATCGACTGGAATTCTATGAGAGTTGAGTTGAGAATCCGAAAGTGGATGGCTCTAATGCCAATTGAAAGTTCCCGTATAGTATATCAAGAAATAATTGACAGAATGTAGAGTATGGACAACAAAGAATATAGCCACGAGATTTCTTTATTAACAGGAATGAAAATACAAAGAATGCAACAATCTGCTGATTTGAGTAGAATAATGAATAATATAGAATCTAGAATCAAACTAATAACAATGAATAGCCTATCTATTTATACAAAGAATAATTCCTATAAAGATGGAAAACAAATAGAATAGACTTATTGAGTTGAGGTTGTTGAAAGGATAGTTTTCAAAGTTCCTTCATTCAGAATTATTCTAACTCTGAACTCAAGGTCTTCATACTTGATCTTCATACTTGTACTTGTAGCCCTTGATCTTCACTTCTTCCAGAACTCTGAAGATTTACTCTTCAGAGTTGACACTTGTGCGCATGAAGATAATCTTTGTACCCGAACTCTCAAGTCTATCATTCTAGAGTTTTGAAGATAACTCTTAAGAGTTATTACTTGTATCATTTCTTGGATTCAGAACTCTGAAAGTCTGTGATGCAGAATTCTGAAAATAACTTCTTCAAAATTTTATATTTAGCAAATTCTGAAGCAATCTTGTCTTAAACTTACAGGAAAACAATTTAATGCCTCTAACTTTGAAAGACTTAATTCTATGGAACTTAATTTTTTTTTTCCAAAAAGAAAGAGAGCAGTTGAGAGACTTCTTTCAAATGAGTTTTTAATCAAGAAATACAGAGATACACAAGGTGTATATGAGAAAATCAATTATCAAATGGAGAAACAAGGTTTAGGTTGATTCCTTTATAGGAAATGAGAAAACAAGCATTGAATTAATTTTTAACATTAGACCTACTCAAAAACCTGCTTTTTCATCCCTCAAAAAGACTTCTACTTTCTAGAGGATCAAGATAATCCTTTCAAGAAAACTCAAGTTAAAAAATATGGTGTATGAAAGCATAACTGGAAAAGATAAGACACCACCTATTCAGGATAAGACACCACCTATTCGCCAAAAGTCGTGTCAAATGATTCATATCAAACTAGAGCAATGAAATACATATATTTTTAACTTTAAATCCTTCAAGTCACAAACTCCAACATCTTCTGGACCAAATACTTTCGAACCCATGATTCTGACACTAAGTCAGTTATTAAGATTTTATATCCAGATGCTTTTTGCGTTTGTTCCTCAAAAGAACATAGAAGTTGAAAATATAAAACAAAGTGAATTTTTTTTTGATGAAAATATCTCTGCTCATCAATCTAAACCTAATGTGCAAGAATTTACACGAGATAAAGAAGGATATGAAGTCTATAAATCTGAACCAATTTCTACGTTTGGAAAACCTAAAGTAACCATCACTAACGTCACACTTAGTACCAAAATACAAAAAGTCACTAAATTTTGATCATTAACCACACTTTTTCTTGTAATGGTTGTGCCATAACTTTTACGTATCGGCCTTGTTTGTTTTGAGAATATTTATCTTCGGAAGAGATCTTAAGTAATATGTAATGCAATAATACCAACTTATCATCCATAATTTTCAAGTTATTAATTAGAATTGATTTGAAGGAATAGGCGAATACTAGAGAGTTTGTTTTTCGTTTAAGAAAAAGAATGAATTTAAAACAACAAAAAAATGAGTGTTTTATTGCACAAAATTAGAAACACGAAAAGCCTTAAAACATGTAGACCCATGCCATATTTGTTGCACATCCCTTTATTGAAGAAACCACAAAACCAATAAAAACTTTGAGAAGCCATAAATCAACACTTGGGCACCAGTGATTTTAAGCAAATCTCGACTTAATTTTCTCAACCTCTTTTGTTCCAACTTGGAAGGTTTTAGTCAACACAGCATCTTCCACAGTGGGAGACGATGCAAACAATGCGTTTGCCGCCCTTTGCGTACCGGGCAGCTGGCTATTGAATCCGGCAATCACGGCGGCAGGAACTTTGCCTTTGTTCATCTGGAAGTGAAGTAAGCCTCTAGGGAATGTGAAGATTTCACCGGTCTTGATGGTCTTGGAGAAGAGTTTGTTATCCGTGGTTATAAAGCCAACATCCAATTCGCCCTCCAACACAAACACAATCTCGGTAGCTCTTGGATGGGTGTGTGGTGGGTTCAGGCCGCCAGGTGCGTAATCAATGCGAGCCATGGATACGCCCAGGGTGTTTAGCCCTGTGATTTGTTGGACGGAGGCTGGTGTAACAGTTGCACCAAATGTGTTGTTGGTGAGTGCAGGTTTCGCCAACCCAGCAAAGAAGAAATCATCTGCTGATATGTTGCTTTTGCATGTGAAACCATTCAATTTTACACCTGTTTTTAATTTGATCTATCAACTGTTAGATTTTCATTCAACCACCAACCTTATGCATGCACTGCCTCTTCTACAAGGAGATTTAATCGTGATACAAAAGCATTAATTATGTCAAGAATAAATGTCCATCATTTATGGAAAACCAAAGGGAAAACTCGTGATTTTGGCCAATAATAACTAAAATACTAAATGCTGGTCCACCAAAATTAAAGATAAGCCAAGAAAGTGGTGGCTTATTATTTAAGTAAATTCAAAGTTCAAACCACCAAAGACATGGACACTGACATTGACTTGACGTTGCCTTCTACATCCATTTTTTGACCAAGAACCTGATGAATTTTAGCTCAAAAATGGATGCAAACATGGAATTTTTTTTTGCATAATCTAATCAATGGTTTTTGTTCATCAATCGTCTTAATGGTATATTTATAATGAATCGGTTTTAATATATAAAAAGTATACACCTAAAATAGTTTTGGAGTAAGTACAGATGCATGAACGTGAGGTACCTGAAGCAAGATCTGCAACACAAACATCTTGAAGCAATTCAGGATCTGCAGAAACGAAGGAAGCCAAGAAGAAGGCCATCATCATGCCAATCACCAACCCATAATCACTATTAGCCATGGCAAAATCTTGATCACCCGATAATTATAATAAACTAGAAACCCTTTCCACTTTGTACTCAAAAGATCATGAAACAAAGGAGAAAAGTGGGTTTAATGGGAAGAAATGAAGGTGGAATGTGTGATATTTAAAGGAGGTGGTGTTGAGGTTGGGAGAAGACATTTTGAATGCTATTTCAGATTGGTAGATGGTCCCTTTCAGTTCCATCTACTTGTTTCTTATTCTACGCAATTCAATTCATTAATTATTTCTTTCAAGATAAGTGGGAATCATTCATCCACATAAACTTATAACTGGCTTCTGTTTCTGTTTTCTGGATTCAGACAACAGCAAAAGTAAACGCAACGGTGTTATTGGGTTAGAATATCGACTTGTTGGGATGGAGACCATTCATGTTGATTTGGAAATTTGTCAAACCTATTAATTACATTTTTTATATCATTCATGTTAACATACGATATGAAAATGATGACAGAGCATGTTTATAGACTATCGGATTTGAATTAGGGATGTTTGGGATTGCTTATTTAAAACAATTTATGTTTTTTTTTTTTTGTAAAAGTGCTTATTAACTTATGTGGTATCAAACCGGAGTTAAATAAAATAGGGTTAAAATTGTAAAATGGTAATAAGCAGTTTTTCATAAGTCATGAATGATTAACTTATCAAAAACAGCTTATTACCGGTTTGACACCGGTATAAGCTGTTTTTTTTATCCAAACACACCGATGTCAGACCGAAATAAGTTAAAAAACAGTTTTTATAAGCAATCCCAAACACCCCTTAATGCTACAAATATTAGGTGTTTTAATAGCGGGAAATCTCTAATAATCTCATTTTGTATTTTTTTTTTGTCACGTCATTGTCACCTTAATAAGAAACTTAATAAAACGAGGTGATTACAAAAATATCACTTTTCTTTTTTAATTTATAAAATGTAATTTTATTTATTGATTATTATATAAATTTAATAGATGTATATATTATAAAATTGTAAAAAAAAATCAAATATAATTTGTTAATTTATATATTTTGTTAAAATATTTGAAAAAAATAAAACACAAACATAATTCTATACTACAATCAAAGAAATGCAAAATTACAAAAATAGTAATTTTTATAAAAAACAACATTAAATAACAAATAGTAATATAGATCACTTGTAATATTTATTCGACCAAATATGTTCAACCAAGTCGAAGCAAAATTAATGATGAACTTTATTTGAAAACATCTCAGAATTTCGTTGAAAATATTATTGAAATTCATGGATAGTTACTTGAAATAGTTATATTGAATCATCTATCTTTTCATCGATCCAATTGATCAACATGTCACCTTCACTTTCAATAATTATATTATACAAAATTATGCATATATGCATAATATTATTAACTTTGACGTAGAAGGAGAGGTGGGAAGAATTTCTCTTATGGTGATATATATACATATATATATATATATATATATATATATATATATATATATATA